CTGGTGATCCAGGCCGATCTCAATAGGCTTGCAGGTGGGCAGATGAATATCTGATGGCATTTAGTACAGAGAAATGCAAGGTGCTCCACCATTCCCAAGGTCACATTTATAGGCTCAGCAATGCTACATTCACTAGCACCGTGACTGAAAGAGACTTGGGGGTCATGACTGACCACAAGATGAATATGAGCCACCAATGCCGTGTCACAGCTGGCAAAGTGAACAAAACTCTGGCTTGCATCTACCAACGCATCTTGAGCAAGATCCAGGATGTCATCCTCCTGCTGTACCTGGCCTTGGTGAGGCTGCACCTGGAGTGTTGTATCTAATTCTGGGCTCCACAATTCAAGAAGCATGTGGAGAAGCTTGAGAGAGTCCAGAGGAGAACCACGCATGTGATCAGAGGGCAAGAGAACAGACCTTACGAAGAGAGGCTGAGAGCCATGGGACTCTTCAGTCTGGAGAAGCATAGTCTCAGGGGTAACTTGGTGGCAGCCTATAAGTACATAAGAGGTGTGCATCAGGATCTGGGGGAACGCCTGTTCACCAGAACACCCCAGGGGATGACAAGGTCCAACAGTCACAGATTCCTGCAAGACCGTTTAGACTGGACATAAGGAAATATTTCTTTACTGTCCGAGGCCCCAAAGCCTGGAAAAAAATTCCCTGCAGAGGTGGTGCAAGGACCTACTCTGGACACTTTTTCAAGAAACATTTGGATGTTTATCTTGCTGGGATCCTTTGACCCTAGCTGACTTCCTGCCCTTTGGGCAGGGGCCTGGACCCGAAGATCTTACAAGGTCCCTTCCATTTGTAATACCTATGAATCTATGAAGTGGGATCAGGCCCTGGCCTGATCCAGCCAGGTCTGGGACTCTTCACAGTCCAGGGGCGTATGGAGGAGACTCCTGCTGCTGGGCACAGCCTGGTGGAGGCCCCTGGGGTCCATTCCCCTCTCCCACCTGTGCTCCGAATGCAGTGGGCAGCCTGCAGCAGCAGCCACCTTGTCCTGAGCATGGTGGGGGATGGGCCCCCCAGGGCCTCCACTAGGCTGTGCCCAGCAGTGGGAGCCCCCCACAGTACGTCCCTGGACCATGGAGAGTCCCAGACTTGACCCAGCCAGGGCCTAATGCCATGTTCATCTAGCCATGAGGCAGACATGGCTCAGCGCAGCAGCGGCACAGAAGTGGGATCAAACCCTGGCCTAGCCGGGTCTGGGAAGATCTGGTCATTCAGAGGCACGTGGAGTTGGGGGGCTCCCTTCACATAGAGAGCTACACCCCTGCCCCTTTCTTCGACACGATCTTTCCTGTATAAGGTGTAGCCATTTATACCGGTAGTCCAGTCATAGGAGTCATCCCACCAGGTCTCTGTGATCCCTATGAGATTGTAGTCATTTTTGTTTAGCAGAAGGACCGCTTCCTCCTGTTTATTCCCCAAATTCCTAGCATTAGTGTATAGGCACATAAGTGTGCCATTAGAGGCCCTAGACTTCCTTGTACTCATGGAGGAGCTCTGTTCCTGGGCTGGGGTATGAGTGGGTTCCCTTGAGCATCATCCTAACCTGCTGGTTTTGCAGTTGATGCTTGGTGAGCTTGCTCTGGTGGTTGTCCGCCCATCCCCTGGTGAGCTTAGTTTAAAGCCCGGTCAAGCAAGTGAGCCATTCTGTGCCGCATCTGCGCTGAGCACATGGGGGGGGTGGTCCACAGGCCCCTGGGGCCTCTGCCAGGCTGCACCCAGTGGCAGGACCCTTCCTACCCCCAACACACCCCTAGACCGCGGAGACTTCCAGACACAGCTGGGCCGGGGTTCGATGCTATCTATGTTGGTCTTTCCGCCAAGCGGGCACGGCTCAGCGCAGCCACAGCACAGAAGTGGAATCAGGCCCTGGCCCAGCCGGGTCAAGGACATTCTGCAGTCCAGGGGCGCATGAGGCAGGGGGTGGGGCGGGTGGGGGGAGGTAGATCCTGGGGGTGTCCTTTACTTCCAAAAATTGATCTTTACCATAAAAAGGTTGGAGACCACTGGTTTAGAGTTTGGTTTGATTTTAATTGTTAAAAAATAATAGTGCAGTTCTTTTGTTGTTAAGAACTCAGAAAAACTACATTCGGGTGGAATGCTTTTGATTCTATGGATTCACATTTGGAATGTATAGGTTTATCTTGTGAATTATGTGTAGGTATTTGCACATCTAACAGTGCTGATATTGAGCAGCACTCCACAACACTGTTAAAAGGAACTCATGGCAACCCAGGTTGATGCTATGCCACGTTTAAGAATTACTGAACTTCAATATTTCCAATATTGTTAACAGACTTTTAAGACTCGAGGCTACTATTTTCCAAATGTGAATGTTTAATGTTAGTGCATTTCCATTTCTGAAGTCCATTTCCAATTTTAGGTGCCCATTTTTGAAAATTATGGATTTAGCTTCACAAATATTTAAGAACTATTTAATGACTTTGTACCTCACCCAGAAAAAGTCTGAGAAGCTGAGTCGCATGTTACTGCTAATATAAACAATTTCTGTTTCTACTTCAAAGAAGAGTTATAACGGCCCACTTGAATTGAAGGATGTTGCACTTCGTGAGCTCTAAGTCCAATTCTTCTTCCACTTCGTTGTGCCAAGATCATCTTGAATGTTGAAACAGGAACTACACAAGACAGCAGCAGTAGCCTGAGACTTAAGGGTCCTATCACCTTTTTCCAGGAGAGGAAGAAAATTAATCACTTTGACCCATGCACAAAAACTTTTTCTGTATATTTACTGACTCATTCCCATTCCATCATGTATTGCTATTCTTGCCTGAAGAAGAATCCCTTACATATGAAAGCTTGTTTAGCTCTATTCCAACTATGAAGTTGGTTCAATAAGAGAGATCATCCAAAGAAATCCTTGCCTTGTTGCTGTTCTGACATTTATAATAGCATTCCTGATAGTGAGCCTGGTATGTAAAAACCATATGAGATCTTGAAATTCCAAGCTTTGAAATCACTTTTAGAACTAGAAATAATGTCATATAGTTCTCAGTTGCAGGCAAGTAATATCAGAACCAAACTGAGGTGGATTTAAAAAAAAAAAATATTGATAACAATTAGACTGAGATGCATTTATTTTAATGTTTTGTATCTTGCAATCCAGGCTTTGAATTATTTGACTCCAGCCCAAACATTTATCATCGTTCTGATCAGAAGTGATACCAGTGGCGGTGATTTGTTTTTGTCTTTAATTCTGCACCCTTCATTAGAGTTCCTAAACTGGTTTGGGACTTAAAATAGGAAGTCCTGGACGTGAGTCCAAACCAGCATCTATCTCCGCTTTCTTATGTAAATATGAGGCTGGTTTCTTATTCACAGTTCTGGGCCTGAGTTGCAAGACTGCAAATTAAAGCTGAAAGTCTGTACAGTGAACAGCCTGCACTGCAAGTGCTATTCTCTGGGGCACATTAAATGGTCCAATGCAGTTTAAATGAGGAATCGTCATTGAGCAGATATGTTCATGGCCTCGTAATATTTAAGTCATCATTGTCATCATCTCACCTGTACATGACACCTGATTTGGGAGAGTTGTAAATAACATAGAAACTAGGTCAGAGCAGTCTAGATTTGTTGGGTAAACTGAACTCGAACAAGCAATGTGAGCTTTAATATGGCCAAACAATGGACCTGTTCTGGGAAACAATGATTCTGAAAAGGACTTGGGACCTTCTAAAGGACCATCTGTATGAGCATGGTGCTTTCTGGTTTTATAAACCATGAATATGGGTATAATATAAAGTGCACTAATATATGAAAAAGCAAATAGCATAAACATGAGTTGTGAACACGAGTTACCCAGTCACTAAAATCGGGACAATCTGAGAACCATTAGTTCTGTAGCATTGCGCATGCTACATGCCACGGTTTAGATTTAGCGTGACGCTCAGCCACTCTGGTAGTCAGCTTAGTTGAATACCTGAACCTTTAGCTCAGTAACTGTTCCCTGTCATGCTAACCAGTTTTTTGTATTTTTCTCTGTTGCCTTTCAGATTTAAACCAGTAGTGCCCAACCTTTAGGGCCCACAAGCCAAACGAATGGTGCAGGGCCAGTCCATGGGCTGGATTAGACTCTGTGCCACCCATCCTTGCATACCTTGGCATCATGGGATTGGGCCCAACACTATCCTGTGCGCTTTATCTTGCATGTAGGGCCATGTTACCTGGCCCATGGGGCTCCCCTCAAGTCTAGAAATTTAACAGCAGGGGAGCGGCAATTAATACTGCCACCACTCCCCTGCCATCAAATTTTCAAACCCATGGGGGGACCCACAGGCCAGGTGACATGACTCGGGGAACTGGACGACAGCATGTCAGAATGTTTTTGAAGCTATGAATTCCTATGTGAGATCTTACTGTTTATCTTGTGAATCCTGCGTAGGTGTCTGTACACCTGTTAGTACTATAGGGAACTCTGCAGCACCCTTAAAAGGATTGCAAGTCATCCCAGGGTGCCACAACATGCTGATGGATAACCACTGCTTTAAAGCAGTTTGTACATGTGTTTTTTCAAAACTCTTATTTTTAAGTTGCAACAGAAATCCTGGCTCTATAAACACTTGAACACATTTTGCATTAGAGATTTTGCTGTTGGGATTTTTTAATATTAAGGATCTATTTTTTAATCCTATTGTTGTGTTCAGCTCCTGCACTAAAGAGAAACCATATGAAATATAAGGAAAAGTAGATACAAATATAGTGAAACTGTGGGGGTGGTAGTGGGTAGGTAGTGGATTTTTTAAATAACTGCAGTGAAGATGGTATCATGTTGATGTGAGTTGGTTTTGCTGAAGTGGGTTTTCAGTAGAGAATTGAATGCATAATGGCATAAGTAGGTCATCCCGGGTAGTGGCTGTTTGTGGTTTGTAACGGGGTTGTTTGAATGCTAGCTTTGCAGGGATTTTAATGATATATCCAGAAACAAAAAAATGCAAATGACAATTGTTCTAATTCCTGTTTTCCAGGTTAACAACTTTGACATCAGCAACGTGTCACACAACCATGCTCGTGCTGTCCTTTCCCAGCCTTGTGTGGCGCTGCACCTCACCGTGCTCAGAGAGAGGCGCTTTGGAAGCCGTAATCACAACCACACTGACAGCAGCAACTCCCAGAGAGAGGACAGTTTCCAGGTGACACTGCATAAGCGTGACTCTAGTGAACAGCTTGGCATTAAACTAGTACGCAGAACAGATGAGCCTGGAGTTTTTATTCTCGACCTTTTGGAAGGGGGATTGGCTGCTCAAGATGGCCGACTCTGCAGCAATGACCGAGTCCTTGCAATCAATGGGCATGATCTGAAGCATGGGACACCTGAACTTGCTGCCCAGATTATCCAGGTAAATTGTATTCCCCACCTGGCAGGCCTTCTTTCTACATGAAACTGTAAACACCTTGATAGGTTTAAAAAAAAATTGCAGATATAGCCAGAGGTCACTGAAGAACTATGGCATGTTGCAAGATAGAATGACTTGTGTATTGTGCCCATGCACCATAGTAATTCCAGCTCTTGTTGTTTAGTATTGATTTTAGTGCATGATACATTAAACACCTGCCCCCTTTGGCATCTGGGGATTGAATGCAAGTGAGCAGGCGTGTCTCTCATTGCTTGCTTGCTTAAGGCAACAGGAGCAAGGTGAGCACAGCTGAGCCTATTGTCTGAAACAAGAAATAAAAGAAAGTCAGAATCATGTTTTGTACATATTGCCCTTCTTCCTTCAAGCTCTCACAAAGCTTTATGAAAGTGGACGTTGTTATGTCTTGTTTCATTGCACAAAACTGGGGATTGAAAAGGGAATATGACTTGCCCAAATTTACATACTAGTCAGTAGAGCTGGGAGTAGCAAACAGGACTCCTGATTCCTCCTCATGGTTCATAATGTCATGTGAACTTCAGTGTTTTCCTTGTGTACGTGTATCCCTCAGGCTAGTGGGGAGAGGGTGAATTTAACAATCTGCAGACCAGTGAAATCGCAGACCGTCAGTATTCTTCGAGAAGCAGGGACTCATGCCAGCAGCCAGCACCAGTCCCAACAGCTGTTTCATAGCAGACCCAGTTCACATAAGGTTGGTGCTTTTTTTCTGTGCCTTAATAGGAAGTACAATAGGACTTTAGTGTTGTTCACATTTATTGACTACAGCAGCAAACGTGGGGCTTCTCCCTGAGATAAAATTGTAGTTTAAGGGTATGAAAAAGGGGGAAGCGTAGTATTACTGTGTAGGAAGATTGCATCCAGGTGGCCCTCTGCTTTTCTGCTAAGCAAGCCACTGGACAGCAAGTACCTCAGATTCAGTGTATAATTCTCAAACCTGTGAACAGACTAGGGTTCTTAGGAAAGAGTTACTCTGCAGGAGTCACTGCAAAGCTATCATGTACTTTATATTTTGTCTGGTAGGGGTGAAAGCATAATGTGAATGAAGGCTTGCATGAATCTAATCAAAAGTTGAGTAGACCTACTATAAACTTATAATATTGCTGTGCCAGTGTTTTCAATGTTTGATAGTTCCAAAAATTCAGCTTTGGTTCTTCAAATTCCCTACATCCATATATTCTTTCAGAGTGCTGTGCTGTAATAGACCTTCATTTCTCTTTTCAATAAATGCATGCTGTGTGGCTCACAACTCAGTGCCACACTTTTAAGTTCTGAGGACTTCTGAGCATTTCTTTTCCCCTTTTTGGGTTTTCTTCCAAAGTTTCAGGTTTCAAAAAAGGGCAGGGTGAGTGTCGCCATGTAGGTCATCTCCACTCCCCTCTTATCTAAGGATAATTGAGAGTTGATTCTCAGATTTGCTGGCTGAAAGAGAGCCATTTGTATAGTTGTGCATCACCAGTAAGTCAATGGCTACAAAACCTGAAGGAATTAAATATGAACTGCCTTTATCTGGTACAGTGCACATCCCAGTAGTATATACATTATGGCAGTATGCCAGCTGCTCTATTATACTAAACATTGTCTGACATCCTGGAATACAAAAATATAGTGCTGCATTGTTCCACATGGAAGGGGGGACAGTGACGTAATTGCAGTTGGAAGGCGCTTATATAATTTCTGTTATTTTAACTTCCATCTAAACCTCCAGTAGACGAGATGATCAGCAAAGGTGAATGTGGAATGCTTTGAAATTATCACTAAATATCTAGGGGACATGGGCTTTAGTAAATACAGTGCATCTTAATTCATGTTGAAACCCTCCTGATAGCATGAAGCCCAGCTCAGGTAAGCCGGATTCTTGATCATCAAAGGCTTAATAAACATGAAATATTCTCACTTTCACTTCAGGTGTGGAATTGTCATTAAAATCAGTAGGGGACTACATTAAAGAATCCGTTACCAGAATACACCCCCGGGGGGTGGGGAGGGAGGCTTATCTCTTCTTTTTATATTCTAAAGAGATTCTGGAAACAGGCTGCAAAGGCAAAAGAAAAAAATGCATAGAAAACAAATACACTGTTTTAAAGGGGTATCTCTTCACATGGCCCTTAAGGTCTATCATATATGCACTTTCATTTCCTATTGGTCCTACAGAAGGCCTTTGGTCCATACTCTGCTTACAAAATGATGCACTTAATAACTGTGACTTTCACCAAAATTACAAAAGTCCTTGGTTATGCAGTACCATCATGCCAACTATTTGAACAAATAGGTTTTGGTAGCACTGCTCAAACGTGAGTGACATTGCATAATGTAGGTGTTACCCCTTCTCTCCACCCTGCCTAACGACATCTTGAAAAAATCAAGGGGGAGCTTTAAAAAAAAAAGAAAAGGGGGGGTGCTTTATTGTGTTCCTAATTCATATTTAGGTACCTAAATAAACAGCTTGATTTTTCAAAACTACTAAGTATCAGTAGATCTTACGGAGCTTATTTAGAGCCTACTGTTCCTACTAAGTTTAAAAAACCCAAGCTATTTTGTTGAAGTACCTAACTATAGACTAGGAGAGTTTATACATGTGCTCCAGGAGGCGGGGCAGGGAGGCACTTTAATTAGAGTCTCTCCACTCTAATTAAAGTGCTGGGAGTGTGACATGTATCGGCATCCCTGTGCTGAAAAATGTCGGTGAAGGCTTTAGTTAAAGCCATTTTCAGCTCAGAGATACTGATGCACATAACACTGGAGTCTGCTGGAGTTTCATGATTTCTAGAGTCGGAAGGGACCTGAACAGATCATCAAGTCCAACCCCCTGCCCTGGGCAGAAACAAGTGTTGGGATCTTAATACCCCAGCCAGATATCTATCCAATCTCCTCTTGAAGACCCCCAAGGTAGGGGAGAGCACCACCTCCCTTGCGAGCCCATTCCAGAGCTTGGCAGCCCTAACCATAAAGTAATGCCTCCTGATATCAAGCCTGAACCTGTATCAATCAATTTGTGGTCGTTATTCCTTGTTATCTCAGGTGGTGCCCAGGGGAACAGAGCCTCCCCTATTTTCTGCTGGTCCCCCCTGGTGAGTTTATAGACAGCCACCAGATCCCCTCTCAGTCTTCTCTTGTGGAGGCTGAATAGATTTAGGCCCTTCAGTCTATCTTCATAGGGCCTGGTTTGCTGCCCCGACCATGCGATTGGCCCTCCTCTGGACCCTCTCAAGGCTAGCCATATCCCTCTTGAAGTGTGACGCCCAGAGTTGGACGCAGTACTCCAACTGAGGCCTGACCAGCACCGCACGGAGGGGAAGGATCACCTCCCTGGATCTGCTTGCGATGCATCTGTAGATGCATGACAAGATGCAGTTAGCCTTCCTGACTGCTTCCTCGCATTGGCAGCTCATATTCATCCTGGAGTCAACAACAACTCCAGGATCCCATTCTGCCACCATGTTGACAAGAAGGGTGTTCTCCAGCCTACAGGTGTGTTCCTTGTCCCCAGATGCAGCACCTTGCACTTGTCTGCGTTGAATTCCATTCTGTTCTCATCCACCCACTTCTGTAACCTGTATAGATCTAGCTGGATTCTGCCCCCCCCTCCCCCCCACCCCCAGTGTTCCCTCCAAGTTGCTGATTAAGATGTTGAATAGCACAGACCCGAGGACTGAGCCCTGGGGAACTCCACTGCCCACATACCTCCAGGTCAAAAATACCTGTCCACCATCACTCTCTGGGTGTGACCCTTGAGCCAATTTGCCACTCATCTGACTGTAGGCATCAATTCCACAGTCGCCTAGTTTTTTTATGAGAATGGGGTGAGAAACTGTCAGAGGCCTTCTTGAAGTCCAGGTAGACGACATCCACCTCAATGCCACACTTCAGCAGACTCAGTTAATCAAGTCTGCTCCAACGTGTCAGGGCAGCCTCGATGTACATGTATAGGCACCTTAGGATCCTGTTAAGCCCCTCCCCCTCTTTAAAATTAATTTTAATGATATTTTGTTATCTTCTTGTAGGACCTTTCACAGTGTGTTAAATGCCAAGAAAAGCACATTACCGTGAAAAAAGAACCACATGAATCCCTTGGGATGACAGTGGCAGGAGGCAGAGGCAGCAAAAGTGGTGAACTGCCAATCTTTGTCACTAGCGTGCAACCCCAGGGCTGTCTTGCAAGAGATGGCCGGATCAAACGAGGTAGGGTTTGGTTCTAAGTGGGGCACCTGTATCATTCAATTCTTCTGTGGATGACCTTGTTGTCTACATGCAGATGGTATCAGAGCTTCTAAAAGCACTGACAAATGATTCTGTCAGATCTCACAAACTGGAATGAAACATATAGTACCATGCTTCCCCCCAGGTTAGGAAATGGATGTTTAGACAAAAATAGGTAGGGTAGCTTGGTGAGATCAGGAAATCATGGGTTATGAGTGGAGGATCTGATCTTGCACTTTGTTTTAGCGCACATATCCTGTTTTGGTGTTTGACTCTTTTTTTTCCATAGGCTGGGCCCAGCATTTGAGGAACTGTCTCTCCCCATGTGTGATATATGAATAGTTGGGTTGAGGGAAGAAAAAGAACACTTTAATATGGAAAAAATGGGAATAAAATCCTTTGTGGTGACCAGAGTCACCCAGGGGAAGTGATGGGAAAGATTCAGTGTTCAGGCACGTGGACTTGAACCAAGCCCTGGAGGATGTGCTGTGGAGAGCAGTGCTGCAGTGGCATCAGGGTCTTTCTTCTAGAGCATGCAGTAGAGAAGTGTGGATCACAAGTAGCACAAGTAGCTTCTGTACATTTTACACACAGTTTGGGGAGCGAGCAGGGAATACAGCAGTAGATAGAGGAAGGGATCAGCTAGAGAGCGCAGGGCAGAGAGTAGAAAGCAAAACAATAGATTGAGCAGGAGACGGGAATTGGCAGGCCTAGGAGGGTGCAGGTCTTAACTTGTGGCACAGCTGCCAGAAAGATTGGCTTTAACTCTTTGACAATGTTGATGTTTAAACGGTAGTTATGAGGCTTCCATGTTAGAAAGTTGCAATTATCCCTGTGAGAATTATTGGTTCAGACTGTCTAGGCTTAGAAGATAACCTATTTGAATGATGGGTGAGAATGCTTTGAGTACTGGCTATGTGTTTTCACAGGAGGATGACTCTGAAAATCCACATGACTTATGCTCTTGTTTGTGCCTTTAAACAGGTGATGTGCTGCTGAATATTAACGGCATTGATCTGACCAATCTCAGTCACAGTGAGGCAGTAGCCATGCTGAAAGCCAGTGCTGCCTCTTCAGTTGTTTCACTCAAAACGTTAGAGGTCCAGATTGTTGAAGAACAATCCCAGGCTAATGAAGAACAGCCAAGCACAATCAGTGAAAACGAATATGATGCTAGTTGGTCACCATCCTGGGTCATGTGGCTGGGCCTTCCCAGGTACTAATGACTGAATGATGCATTTAAATGCAGCTTGCAGCTGCTGGTTTTGTTGCTGTTGTAATAATGATGAATCTGTGCTATGTCACTCTCCTAACAGTGTAGTTTACTTGAAAAATGTGTGTGAGATCTTCTTAGGGGCTGATGCAACTTACATTTTGCTTTTTTATATACAATTTCAGACTGAATAGCAATAGTTTCATTTACTTTAATGTTTTCTGCTACTACACTTCAATTAAATGAAAGTGATAAGGCTACTTTAAGCTTGAAAGCAAAGACCATGTTATTTACAGCACCTGCTTCACTGTGTACTTAACAATTGCAGCAACGTTCAATTTATAAGGATTGTATAGAAAAAGTATTTGCTTTGCAAGCTAAAAAATATGAAAAACTGGTGATCTCCTCATGTCCCAGTTCCAATTCTGAGCAAAGCCTCTTACTTTTCAAAACTTTCAGCATGGCTGTTGCCATATGATGTTATTCTGTCATGTTATTCTTCATGCTCTGGTAGCTGTACACGCAAATCGTGGACCGCATTTTGGTAGCCCTTATTATCATCCGTTCCTATTGCCTGGCACACTTGTGTAACCTTCAGTCACACTGTGCATTACCTTTTAATAGTAAGGATTTCCAGGATCAGCCCCAAAGTTTGCAGATGTTGCTACAGTGAGAATAGAATGTAATGGTAGTAGGATGGAACCTCAAGTTAATAGAGCTACATACAATTACAAGAATTTTTCTTGGTAAGAAGCTCTTTAAGAATTAAACCCTCAGTCATATTCTTTAGGCCTTGCTGTACATTATGTTTGATAGATACTATTTTACAGGAAAAAAATTGTATTTGAGGAATAAAAGCCCTGTAAAACTGCTTTCTAGTCTGTTAAATGCCTCTGCTTCACTGAGCTGGCAGTGAACAACCTCAGGTTGCTTCTTAATTATGTCTGTATACTACAGCGTATGAATACTTTACAGAAGCATGTAGCCCTGACACAATTTTCTAGTTTTTCTGAATTGAGAAAGGATTTTCTGGGAGAAGAAAAAAGTTCTTTAATTCAGCATTCCTGTGAGCACAAAACCACTTTAACAGACTGGTGCAGGCTCTTTTTTTTTTTTTTTTTACCAAACAGCTCTTCTCTGTATGAATTTGAGTCATAGGCATTTGTTTCACTGACTGTGATGGTTTCTCTGATTGCCTTAGCTATCACCTCCTGTGTCGATTCCGACTCTCACCTGCCATGTCTTGATGGATTTTGATGTTATTAATCGGGAGGTATTATTTGCTGCAGTAGGCTACTGGCAATCTCTAACCATTTTTATCAGTGGCCCCACCTTTCCACTGTTTTTCTTACCTGATGCACAGATTTAGGTTAATACTCAAACTACAGTCTGCTGTAGTCAAACGATTCTCTTTATTGTCCTTTGTGTTCCTTCACACGCACAACTACCACAAGAATATTATATTTTTTGGTAAAAAAAAAAAAAAAAATTTTAAGTCTTTCATAAACACCTTTGGGGCATTCTTTTCTTTATTGATATACAGCTTAATCAAACTAACTTTCAAAGCTGTGTCTTGAATCATCCCGAAATTTTCACTTTCAGTGCTACTTCCCCTTTATTTCTGTAAGTACTCACATGTTCCTCCTTGTTTTATCCTCAAACCTCCTGAGGAGCAGTCAATAACTTCAACAAAATCAAAATCAAAGCCAAGGTCTCCCTACGTGTTTGTTGTTTTTCCTTTCTTACTTTCTCTTTTTTTTTTTTTCCAAAGCATCTCCCCCCCACCTCTTTCTCTCAGCTTCTCCTCTTCCCGCACCTCTATTTTTCTTTGGTGCAAATCCAATTAAAGTTCACTCATGTCCTCCAGAGCCACCCAACTCCCTTCCTTCGTCCAGCCCTCTCTGACATGCTGGACCAACCTCCAGAATCGCCCCAACTCCACAATCTTCTCTCTGTTCTCTCCCCCGGAGGAGATGCCTCTTGCTCCCGTCTCCTCCTCCATGCTGTGCGGCCCCGCCCCCGGGCTCTATACGCAGGGAGCAGCTGCTTCTGAGTCGCTGCTCTCCAGGCTTGATTGTTTTCTCCACTCCTGCATCCTCATTTTGTGTTAGTACCTCTTCACACTGACCAA